ATTATGGGGGAAGGAAGTTTTAAACACCTCACCCTTGCTATCTAGGCAATCCTGGTGACATTTGAGAGTAACTGTGTGCTGTGTGAGTACTTGACAGGAACGTGTTATGGGAGGACATCATTTCCCTGGTGACTTACAAAACAGGAGACCCCGACCCACTGTGAATCCGTATGCATTCTTTAAACTCCAGGCAGATAGGATGGAATGTTGCTGCAAACCCTTCATAAGTAGGGAGTCCAAGGCTCATGGTCCCATGGGGACAAGGCCGGCCTCATTACCTGAATGCGGACACATTGGGCTTTATAAATGTTTATAACGAATGACCTCAGTCAGGGTGATAGCCACTCTTCAAAGCTGCTGTTGGCTGCCTTCCAGTAAACGCCATGTTCAATGGAATGAAACTGCCCAACTCTACACCATTTCCACGGTCAGCTTCATATTAGACCACCAGGATCCACAGCATCTTCATTGGCTGAGTCTTAGAAGGACGCCTCGAGGTCCCTCTCCCTAGTCTGTCTTAGTCTGGAAGTTCCACTGAAATCTGCTTTAGCAACATGCAAGCCTTTCCCCTGATGGTTGGTGGTGACTATGCCTGAGGCGAACCAGCCAAGGATGGAATCAGGGTCTATCTGATGAAAGGCAAGAATTCCACCCCAGAGCTGCCACTGTCCCAACAGTTTGGCCACTGAATCCCCACTGTCCTCCAGTAGACAGAGACTGTGCATTCTTTCCTGGAAGTGACAGGCTCGCTCCATTCACTCTCTAGAAAGTGTGTGTGCTAAAGACCCAAGCCTGACTCACCACAAACTCGCCAACCACTCAGAGGAAGAAAGATGAGGCTGTCTGCTTCCATAAAGGTTCCCAGTCTCAGAATCAACTTGATGGCAGTGGGTTAAGTGTAGATTGGTTTTGACTAGCCCGTTTCTGCCTCATTCTTTCAAGTCACAATGGTGTTTCAGAAGAGAGCTGTTGTCTCGGCCCACAACTCCTTTCACAAGTGCCCCTGTGCGTTTCTGAGTCTGTAACTCTACGGGAGCCGATCCCTTAGATCAGCCGGTGGTTTCAAACGGCTGACCTTGCCGTTAGCAGTCCAATGTAGAACCCATTTGAACTACGAATGCATGGGGAGAAGATTACAAAGATTATCAGTGCAGTTCAGTGTCACTAGAATCCTGGTAGCATAGTGGTTATGCATTAAGCTGTGACCCAAAAGGTCCACAGTTTGAAACCACCAGCCCAGCCCACTCCTCGGGAGAAAGACAGGGCTTCTTCCTCCTGCAAAGAGTTACAGTCTTGGAAACCCACAGGGGCAGTTTTACCCTGGCCTGTAGGGTCGCTATGAGTTGGCATCGACCCGATGGCAGTGAGGCTTTGGCTTGGGTGTCACTGATGTGCTAAGCTTTCCTCACCATGACTTTAGCATCATCGGTGCCGAGGTCAGACTCTTGCCTAGGGCCAAAAATGTATTAATGTTTTAGCCAAACTGCTGCTGTGAAGCCAATTTCCACTGCTGTGCTCACATGCCTTCTCTCAGGTGAGCAGGGAGCCTGGCCAGAGTCGGTTCACGGAACCTGGTGAGGTTAACTGGTGGCCACAGCACCCGGTGATAAGAGCATGAACTGACATTTGCTGTTACGGATTAAACCGCGTGTCCCTGAAAACATGTGCTGTGGTGGTGAGTCAACACGGACGCGTAAAGACCCACCTAGGACAGACTAGAACCGCCAAGACTCAACGGAACAGACTGCCAGGCTTTCTCGCCTGGAGTGGGTGGTATTTAGGAGGTAGGCAAGGAATCTGGAAGGCATATAAGATGTGAGGGATGTTTTAAAGAAAGAATCAGTTAATTAGAGTGAAGAAAGGAAACAAAGAAGCGGAGTATTTAACTACTGTGCCACCAGCGCGCCGAAACCTACTAGCTCTTTGGTTCTGAGCCCATCTGGGAATGGGGCTTCGGGTTATATTAATGAGGCAGCATCAGTATAGAGTGGACCTTGAATCCATCTCTTGTGAGAGCGGAACGAGCAGATGAAGCCAGCAACAACCAAGCAGAGGCATGCTCGTGGCTCAGGGGTTAAACATTGGCCTACTTCCCATAAGGTCGACAGCACAAACCCACGAGCTGCTCCCTGGGAGAAAGATGAGGCTGTCTGCTCCCGTAAAGCTTTACAGCCTCACAAACTGGCAGGGGCAATTCCACTCGGTCACGGGGAGTCCCTCTGAGTCGACGTGGCACCAAACAGTGGGATAGGAGCTTTTCAAGAAGGTTAAGCCCTAACTAAAGAAGAGCAAACAATTGATAAAGCATTGCCAACTACCTATGATTTCCTTTACGAGGATGGGCTGCGAGTAGTACTTCGGCTCGCTGGCGCCAGCCGCATTCACGGCCTTTACGCGCACGAAGATCTTTGCATCCGTGGGCAGACCCGTGATGGTGAACTTGGTCTTGTCGATCAGATCTGTGCTGGCAGCCGTCCAGTCTTCAGCTACAATCCATAAAAGAAGAAGAAAACAGGGGGGGGGGTGCTCAGTGAATGAAGTCATTGAGCCCCTTACAAGTGACTCCAAATTAGCATTTTATTCATCATGCACTGACTGGGCGGGGTTATGATTTGGGGCTGGATTTAGACTAAATGGGTATGTACTTTCATATTTAAATGAGGGGTGGGGAAAGGCTTAAAATGGCTGACACACATAACAAGGAGATAAATGATCAGATTCTGTTACTTCTGAAAACCCTCTTGTTCAGCACGCGAGTGCGTTCCGAATAACAGCACCTGTTCCTAATAACCTTATGGCAAGAGTGCCCTGCTTTGGCTCTATCATGGTCGGTGTGACCAGGGGAGAAAGATGGGACTTTCTACTCCTGTAAAGAGTTCCCGTCTTGGAAACTCACAGGGACAGTGCTACCCTGTCCTGGAGGGTCACTGAGTCGGCATCCACTCAAGGGCAACAAGATACTTATTAACAGGCAGAACCAGAGGGGAATGCCACGCCTACACATGCACAGCACCGACCCAAACATGTGATATCTCCTCGCTAATTTTAACTCTGCTGGCTCACTCCTGAAAGAAGCTCATCTCAATAAGGGGGAGACCTGGATCTTTTCCCATTTGCGGAGACAAGGAGCTTACGCCCATGGCAAAGAGGAATCATCAGGCACAGGCTGGGACCTCACAAGGAGACGTACCCTTCTGGCCCCCTTTCCAAAAACTCTGATTTGGGGTGTTTGTCTAAAACAGCAAGAGAATTTCAAGCCAGCACGTGGGACTTGCAAAGCATGCATCCCCTAAAAGGTCATATATGTTTCTGCCCACAGAAAAAGAAGATGGGCTTCGTTGCCCCCTCCCCAAGTCCAAGGGGTTTTGTGTGCATGGTGGTGGGTGTCCATCAGGCTTGGTCATGGAATGAGCATTCCCAGAACTTGATGACATAGTAAGAGCATCCCCAGAATGTTATGATATAGTGAGGGCATTTGCAGAATACTTTACCTGGTAGATCATACGCAGCCTCCCCATTTTCATTAGACTGTTTTGCTGCTGTACCTTTGAGAGTCCGTCATTAAAATTAATTAAAGACACCCACTTTCACACCAGAAGAATATCATTATCAGTAGTCAGCATTCTCTGTTAGTAATGTATGCAAAGTACACAGAGATATTTGTCTTCAGAGCAGTGATGGAAGAGACCAAAGGCATTGGGGGGCGTGGTGGGGGTTCCCTCCGGAGAGGCACAGCCTGCCCTCTTCAGACTGTGGCTTTTGTCCTGAGGCACCTGCCACAGAGAAGAGCAGGGAGAAGAGGAGGGAGGAGGCTAGAGCCCCGCCAGCGGTGGGAATAAGAGATGGAGAAGAAGGAAGCAGGGTTGAAGAGAGAGGAGGAACTGGCCCTGGAACCCTTGCAGGTGGTGGCCCAGTCTATCTCTGCTCCTGACCCTGACCCTGTGCTCCTGGGAGAGGGTGCTCCTGGGCCTCTGGGGAACTATGGTGCTGTCACCATGGGGTTTACTCATCAGTCTGGGAGTCTCTTGGAACAATGCAGGCTCTGTTTCACCAGGGCTTGTGTTCTGTCTGAAGGGAACCAGAATGAGAACCAGCCCCAGCAGTCCAGCAGGGAGCCAGCCCTTGGTTACCAGGGCAACGAGCTTGGTGTCAGAAAAACCAATGGCTCCTGCTTGGGTCCCTGTACTTTGTATGGGTGGAGGGGACCGTGTTGGCTCACAGGGTGGCCCTGAGCATCCCCCAGCGCTTTCTAATGATGGCTCCTAACAGGAGAGGCACTTGAGAAGTGCAGAGTGAACCGGTGGCCCCAGAGAACCTTTTTCTTGTGCCAAGTCTACCAGGAGTGTCAGGGAGAAGGGAGCTGAAAACCACAATCTCTGGCAGCCGGGAGGGCATGCGATTCACAATAGTCGCTGATGACTTGGGCAAGGAGCCGTGCTTTCCGCAAATGGCGGGGGTGGGGGGTGGGGGTGTGTGTGTATGGTGTTGGTGTTTTCATAGTGAGAGAAAGCCAGCGAGCAAGATGACAGGAAGAGATGAGAAAACATAGAGGAAAGAGAGAAGAAGTAGAGAAGGAGAATATTTCACCAGGAAAAAGAGTAGAAAAAGGTCAGGGCCAACCACCCAGGCCACCCCCTGCACACATGAACTGAGGGAAATTGAGAGAGAGAAGCTGGTCTCCCGGGGCTGGGTAAAGGAATATGAAAGCTATTTAAAACACATGAGGGATATTTGAAGGAAAGAACACGCGAATTAGAGCGACGAAAACAAAGAATAAAATGCTGCAGGCATTAAGAGAGAGAGAGGCAGCACCAGAAGTAACACACCGGCTTAGAAAAGAAAGGATTCTCTTACAAAAGAAAACCTGAGATATCTAAAAGCATTAAACACTACAGAAAATTAGTCTGGAGGACAACAGCCATTAAAAGAGACTGAAGAGTAGGTCAGGCACCAAAATAAAAAAAGACAGAAAAGACTGCAAGAAGAAAGATATACACATACTAAAAGAACTTCCATAGAAAGCTAATTCCAAGACATTATGTGGCAAAATATATACATAATAATGACTGTGTACATATACATATGTATACACGTACATACATATGTATCTACACAGACCACACGCAAAATTATGTAAAATACACTTAGTTGTATTTTATCTAAGGTGGGTCACATCAAAATGACAGCCCTCTATCATTTTGCTGTATCTTCTTACTTTTTAAACCTATCAGAAAGAAAAGAGTAAAGAATTTGCTCTGTTTCATACATAGACAAAAGGTCTGCGCTCAGCAGCTGTAGCATATATAAGACTGGGAAATTCTGTGGCCTACACAACATGAAAAACCAAAGTGACTGCTCATGAGGTTTTGAAAGGCGGAAGGAAGAGTCAGAGTAACCCACATCTGGAAGGGCTCAAGAATTTGCCTGTTAACTTTAGTGACACTGCCACCCTCTTCCCTGACTGGGTTGACCCTGGGAACGTTGTTATAATTTCCACTGTGAAGTGGTTTAGAAGCTTCCCAAGCCCTGGAGAGGGCTGTTTCTAGGATGCTCCATTTCCCCTTCTTGTCTTCATCCCACGTGACCTACGATGGCGATCATATCCACATGGGCCCCGGTGCAAGGGTTTCTCTTTGATCAGGTTTCCCTCCAGAGGCAGCGTCTTCTCCACGGAGGGTCAAGGAGCCTCCGCACTCACATTCCGTCTGAGTTCCCAAACAGGCTGATGCTTCTCTTTCTTGCACTCGAAAGCTCCATGTTGAAGATGGGCGTACTAAGAGTTTCCCTAGAACTTGGGTCTTCAGTTACTGTTTGGGAGACACTCACAGCTTCTCAACTGTACTGTTGACCTACTATCATCTAAAACAGTGCCCGAGTCCCGAGCTGGACCAGTTTCATGCGCCCCTTTTCCAAAGACATATCACCTACCAGTCATGACAAGTAGCAAACCAAGAAACCACGGAGATTTTCCGTGATTTTCACTTGTCTTGAACCCAGGTTCATGTTTTCTTATATCCTTCCTGCTTTTCCCACCTCCTGGTTTCACTCCCCCACCTGCATTTATGCTGTGAGGTTTGTATGTGCTCCCCGTCTGAGACAAATTCTCGTCACATGTTGAATCCATCTCTTGTGCTATCTACCATTTCCTTTATACGCTAAGAATTATTCTTAATCTTCTCCCTCTGCCCTTTTAGTTTGCTGTGGAATAATTTGGCCCCACCAATTCAAGAAGTAAAAGTCCTGAAAGTTTTGTCATGGCCCCCCCTCGCTATGTCTTAGTTCAATCGGGCCATCCCATCTGCCCCCTTAGCCAGGCTATTTTTGAGATTTCAGTCTACGAGTATCACATACCAAAGAAGGTCTACAATTTTACACCCCGTAGAAGAAGGACGTTCAAACTGATTTCCTTTTCCGTGAGCAGGAGATAAACTCCCAAGAAAGAAGAACAAAAGAAAGACGTCTCTCACCTATTGATGCCGGCATTCAGTTTAAGCCCTAGGCAGTCATCTTACGAGTAGTACTTACTTCCTTCAAAGCAGTACTCTAGTACATAGCCATCTAAACCTGCTGCTCCGATCTGGTCCGGGGGTCGCCATTTCATTGTGACCGTGCTGTCCGTTACAGAGTCCACCGCCAGCAGAGTGGGCGGGCTGGTTACAGCTGCAAGGAGAGAAACAGAGAAAGAAAGAGAAGAAGATGTTAATGACAGTGTGGTGGCACAGGAAGTGTGAGAAAAATAAAAATAGGCAGAAGCCCCGAGTCTTAAATCAACACAGTGTAGTAGAGATTCCTTATGTGTATGCCATATGTTAGACATGGAAAATTTAGGAAATGTTGACACAGTTTTCCCTCTAACTTTGAGAGGGTGGTGTGGGAGGATAGGAGGCTTAAGGAAGTGGAAGAATTCAAAGTTAGATCTAGAGTAAAACTTTCCTAATTGAAAATTGCTCTGGAAAGGGGTCGTCCTGGGACTGTAGGAGTGGCGGTCATTGGACCTCAGTGGGGGGAACCTCCGGTTTGGTGGGTGTCCAATGGTAAAGAATCACCATATTTGGTACCTCAATGCCCCCCTCGCAGTGACACAACAGATTCTGATCTGCTAGGAAGGGGTCTGCACTTGGAAGAAGTGATCCAGGAATTTTCCTCGACATCAATCCCAATGCTTAGGGTAAACAGAGCTTGAACTGTTTACAGGTTTTTCTTTTATTAAATTTTAATTTATTTATGTCAT